AGGCGGGCCATCAAGCAGGATCCATGGGCATCAAAGAGTAAGCTTCACCCTTTTTTCCCCTCCCCCCCCCCCTTGTTTCCCTTTCTACTTTTCTCCGCGTCTCTTTTCTTCTTTTTTCTCTTCTATTTTTCCCCCCTTTCTCCTGTTTTTTTTTTTTTTTTTTTTTCATCTTTTTCATCTTCTTCATCTTTTTCATCTTTTCTTCTTTTTGGGTAACTAGATAGTGCTAACATTCGCACAGACTCGACCAAGAAACCGCGGCGGAGGAGGACGAGGCAAACTTCGACCCCGAGGTTGACCTTCGTGACTATGACGCCGTGGCCGCATCTCTCCCCGTATTCTGCGTGTCCAGCCGCGCGTTCCAGAAACTAAGCGGCCGCCTCCAGAAGGATGACTTCAACGGAGGAGGCTTTCAGTCCGTCGAGGACACCGAAGTTCCTCAGTTGCAGGCCCACGCCAAAAAGCTCACCGAGGCGGGCCGCGCAGCCAGCTCACGGCGCTTTCTCAATAACCTCTTACAACTCCTCAACTCCATGACCATGTGGGCCTCCGACGATGGAACAGGGTCGACTCTGTCCGACGTGGACAAGGCGAAGGACGAGAGGCGCCTCAGGAAGCAACTCCTTAGGATGGAGCAGGTCAGCCTTGGCCCCGGACCCGGACCACCGCATCACCCATCTCACTAACACCCACCAGGATCTCGACACGGCGCTAAAAGAATGCATTGCTTCGGTGAAACAAGTCATGGCTGAGAACATTTTTGAGAATTTTGACAGGTACATTCCTATGGCAGTCGACGCGGCCGTGCCCACCGCGACCCAATGGGGCGCACACAGGGCCGACGGCGGTCTGCTTTGGGCGACATACAAAGCAACTTGCAGGCGGTACGGTGTCTTTACCGGTAGTTCCGGCCCGCGCGACTTCAACGCCGAGCTCTTCGACCCCATCTCGCGGCACCTGGCTGGCGGATGGGAACGTGCCTTCCAGCGTCGTTTGCCGGCCGCCCTGGACAGCTTTCTGCGTGTGACGCGGGCGTACCTGGAAAAGTTTCACCGCGAAGCCATCGAGCGGGCGAAGGAACGGGGCACTAACTACAACGGTCTGAGCATGCTGTCCCAGCAACTCGTTGCTCACTCGCAGCGCATCGCAGACGTCCGTGCTGCTGTTCTCGGGTTGGCCCAGGAGCTGCAGCGGGACGCCAACAGGGCCTTCACTCCTGTCATCCAGGACGAAATGATGCCCGCCTACGATGGCTGTGTCGCTGAGCGAGGTATGTCTCGCACCCCATCTCTGCCTCCCCACAACCCACTAACAAACTCACTTCCACAGGCGCCGGCTCCTACATGCGCATGAAGAACATCATGGTCACGCACGTCACCAACCGCCGCGGCCCCATGTTCCGCAACGCCACCGACGTGGTGCAGCGGCAGCTCGAGCAGCTGTGCGACCGCATCCAGCAGGACATGGAGGCGCACGTCCAGGAAATGCGCGCGCGGCTCGCGCGCGACTACCTCGCTGTGCTCGTGGGTGTGGACGTCGGGGCGATTGGAGCGCAGGGCCCGTCGCGCGTGGAGCTGATGCTGCGCGGCGAGATGGTGCCGTTGTTGGCCAGGAGCGACGGGGTGTTTGCTGAGGTTTTTGGGGAGGGAATTCAGGGGGCTGGTAGGATCGAGGAGGGTGAGGGAGGTGATGGGACTGAGGAGCATGGCGAGCTTGTTAAGGACGAGCAAGATTGTTCGGTTGACTCTATCACGGTCAAGGCAGAGGGGGATTGAGGGCTGAGATGTATGTTTGGCGTGTCGGGTTGGGCTTGTGGGAAAAGGGGCTGGCACTGTTTTGCTAGGTTTGCGGCGTTGCTGGGGGTTTGTGGGTCTTGATACCTTGGTTTGCTCTTCGAGAGATAAACTTGCCTGTTGTTATGTTTGTGGGAAATGTAGCTATCACAAACAGCCTCGTCTCCGCACAAGATGCTCTGCATGCCACGTCCTTGATACAAAGATCTGGTGTTTTTATATCCAACCAGCGTGGTCAGAAGGAGCCTCCTGTTTCCAGGATACAGGGTCAGCTTCTTGTAGTTTCCTTCCCGTTGAGCCACCTACCACCACGATATCTGGAGGCAGCTTTGACTCTGCGCCCGGTTCATACCAGTCAACAAGCGTACCCTCCTCTTTCTCCTTCAGTTTCCTTGCCACAAAACCCTCCATGGCCTCTCTCTGTTCTCGAGGCAGCAGCGCCAGCCGATCCATAAAACCCCCCGTTTCATTCTTCCCAAAAAACCGCTCATCCAAAAACTTCCAGTAAATCCCATCAAACGCCCAACTCCTCCTCGCAGCATACACCACCCAGAAATGCCCCGTCTGCCAGCTCTTGCGCATACGAGTAGACAGACGTCCGGTCTCGCTCAGACGGCCTTGCTCGATAAGCCACTCCTCCTTTTTCTCCAGGGCGCGCAAGAAGATCTGCAGTCTCGGCTCGTAGTGGGCAACCCAGTCATCCAGGCCAGCCCGCCAGTCGTCTGGAGCTTGGAGGAGCAGCCACCAAGGGGGGCCCAGCGAGAAATCGGTCGGGGCAGAATACGTAAATTCCCATTTGATCACGGCTGCAATCTTTTCGTCCTTGTCCGCCAGGACATTGGCGGGCCGAAAGTCGTCGCACCATAGCTTGAAGGGCCCGCGTTCAAACTCGGGGTCGGCCAGACGACCCTCGGCAGCGAGCTTCCGAAAGAGCTGCCTGTGCGTTGGCGTGTGTCAGCGTCTGCTCTGCAGCTTGGGATGCGCTAGAAGTGAGTGGTCGTAACGGGGAATCACTTTACCCGGCGATGTATTTTTCCCTGCAGTCGTCTGCCGACTCGATGGCGTTGTTGCGCTGAAAGGACAGCTGTTGGAGGTGCATGTCTGCCAAGGCATACCAACGACTAGTTCCTTTTCTGTAAGGCTTGCCCTTGCTTACCAATTTCCTGCTCAAACTTGCTGGCGTGAGTTTGTGGCATGGGGATGGGTAGAGCATGGGGAACCGTACCCTGCGGCTGGGTGATAGCTAATGCACTGCAAAGTGTCTTGCCCTGCCTGGTCTTTTTTCGTTTTCTTCTTTTTCTTCTTTTTCCCTCCTTTTTCCTCTTTTTCTTCGTTTTCTTCGTTTTCTTCGTTTTCTTCGTTTTCTTTCTTTTCCTTTTCCTTCTTTTCCTTCTTTTCCTTCTTTTCCTTCTTTTCCTTCTTTTCTGTCTTTTTCCTTCTTTCCTTCTTTTCTTTTTGACCAACTCCACGGCCTCTTCCGCAGCCTCCATCCAGCGGGAGCGGGGGCTAACTACCTACCGCAAAAGCAAAGCATCCCAGAAGCGCTCCGCGAGCCACTCCGCTCTAGGGTGTAAGTGGCTGGGATATCGACACCTCGTTCATCGTTAGACTGGCGTGATGCCTTTCAACCTTAAGGTGCCTCTATTACAAGTGGCTTTTCCAGTACTTGGGTTCCGTAGAATAGCACCTGTAGAGTGATGGTCAGGTCGAACTGGTCGCCAACCATACCCGCAATCACCTGCAAAAGTCAAACAAAACAAACACAGCAAACTAACGCATCGTCGCGTACCGGCTCGCAACCTCGTCTTGGGCCTCGCACCGCTCACAAGCGAAAGAGGCGACGCGAAGAAGAGAGCAGCTGACCTCAAGCGAGACCGACGCATCCTCGTCACTGTGGCGATGGACGGCCTCAACACACTCGAGGCAAGGAAGAGTCTAATCTGGGTTAAAAACGTTCAGGGTCGACAAAGGCTGCGGCAGAAATGACGGCGACGATGCGTTGTTGAGGAATCGCTCAAGAAGCGAGGAGCGATCGTACCGCGGCATCACAGTCATATTTATGGTGGTTGCGTGAAGAAAAGAATTAAAGAAGATAAATCACTGAATTTAAAAGCGGAAGGTCCGCCCAACGAGGGTTGCCATATCATCCCAACCCCTTAAAAAGAAAACAAACCGACGGGAACCTGACAAAACTCGGGCGTATATATACACAGAACAGGCTCTAAGAAATCCAAGGAGAAATGGAATTTGAGGGAGAGACCTTCTTGTAAAACAGAAAGGATGCTCGTCCGAATTCAACCGATGGGTCGTGGAGGAAGACATGAAGGGATCACGACAGTTGGTCAATCAGTACCACCAACAGCAAGAAAGGCGACGATGTTAAGTCGAGAAGTTAAATCGGGAAGAGAAGGGAAAGGGGAAGGGGAGGAGCTGCAAAGGGCAGCTTACAGCACGAAGAGCAAAACGACGTTGTGTTGGGCCGAGGACAGCCCGAACTCCCCCGAAGGAGGTCCTCTCTCAAGAGTGGCATCGCCCGCAGGTGGAAATCTATCGTACAGAGCGAACCGATCAGGCCGCAGGGCACTTGATGTAGCCCAGAAGAGGGGCATACTTCGCATTGAAGCGCTCCTTCAACGCCGGAAGGCCAAGCTGCGCAAGGTCTTGTCTCATGCCCGCTGAGCCTCGGGAGCAACGTGAGCCGCTGTCCGTCGAGGATTCTCTTACCCCCGCTCCACAGCGCCCTCAATGCGACCAGTTGTGCTCATGGTATGGAAGAGAACCAGTTCTGTTGGGACCACCAACGCGGTGGCACTCGGCAAGATATGTGGCAGACGTGTGGTCACAACTTGCACGCCATGGGATACACATGGGAAACGGTGAGGGACTGGACATGTGGCTGCTGTGTTAGTGACAGCCACTGTCTTGCAGGTGTGGTGACTGGGGGCATCCCTGGTGGAGTGTGGCTCCAATCCCGCCATGATCGAAATACGATTGGCCCCTGAATCTGAACCCCTGAGATGAGAACCCCCAGGCCATAGAGACAAAGCTCTCTGTTCCCATCACAAACAAGAGGCGAGTGATGATCCCTTGCATCAAGAGCGAGGACCCATCAGAAAAGAGGCAAGGTTGGAAGAAGAGAAGATGAGAAAAAGAAAAAGAAAAAAAGAAAAACTCAGATATAAAATCAGAAAAAATTCAAAAAGAAGCCGACCGAGGTGGGACTCGAACCCACAACCTTAAGCTAGATTGGTACCTCTTTTTAGGAGGCTCACACGCTACCATTGCGCCACCCGGCCCGTGATTTGATGAAAGTTCTACCTCGACCTTTTACCTATCAAGTCAGGGACCGTAGATCGTACTCAGGAGAGCCAAATTCAACCCCAACTCAACGCGAGAGCATGCTCCTAAACCTCAGGGATAGAGGCGGGCTTAATTTACAAACTTATTTTCAGCCCCCTATTTCAGGGGTAACTGACACCTCAGACTTGAGACCATTCTTCCAACCCCAAAGAACACCAGTGTGCCAGAGACACTGCAACAGACAAGCAGCAGTTGCACACCTCCTGAAGACCTGGGTCAGCTCTCAATATGTTCAGGTTAGCTGCGCCACCGTTCCATCAAGCCATGAAGCCGCGCACCATCTCATAACACAACAGCAATGCCGGAAGATCCTTGACAAGAAATTCATCTGACAAACTACTGCAAGCAATAGAGTTACCATCATGATGATATGGGGTAACACAATGTGTCACCCAGTTGATCACATGCGGGCGCCGGTATGTACATACACCAAGACCTGCGTCTCGAGATCTCTTTGCCAAAGACACGAGTACCACAGAGAGCAAGAATGACACTACCATAGCAAACATACAATTGCATGAATGAGATTGGTACTTTGCCTGATGGCGGAAACGTTAGGTACCAAGCGCTGGCGAGGATTGGAGCATGGAGATGCGAACCCCTGAATAGGGACAACCAGCTTCGACAGCGGAGGTGGCGGCGGCGGCGGCCGCCGCCAACCCCGCTCGGCAAGCTGTTATCCCAATCCGCCAGACACACCATCCCGGTGCGTAACTGTATTGAGGAAGATGCTGTGTTGTCGCGATATAAGGTGCCTTGCTGGCCTGCAATTGCGGCGTCACTTTTGCGAGATCTGGGCCGCGTATGGTTGATTGCCAGTTTGCCCAAGACAAGTTCATGCTGCGTGAGGCTCGCCGCGCGAACCGAAAGATGCGTATTGAGAACACTAGCGCCACCCTCATTCAGCATAAGCTCGGCGTCCCGGTCTCTGCCATCCCACACCCTGCTGTGCCCACCTTCTCCGTATGAGGGCCTTGCCGTCCTCTCATCGCCGCTTGCCGCTATCGCCAGCGCGACGACCACCCTAGCCGTCTTTCCATACCCGTGCCTCGTCCAAGGTTGAGAGGGTAGGAGATCCTCCTGGTGAAGGCTCCTGAGAATAACGGACAGTTTGAGTAGTGCACACGTGCCTGTTCCTGCTACGCGCGCCTCTCGCTTCGGCCCGAAGCTTGATCAGCAGTCTGTCGGCGTCATGTACCATTGATCTAATTTCATTGAACGCAAGCTTGCAACGGCCTAAGCAACACAACACAGTCAGCCCGAGACCTCCGGGGATAAGAAGTATAAGGCTCTGCGAGTTACAGCAGCCCATGGTGTGTGAAGAGGAAAGAGGGCCAGAAAGAAAGACAATGTGAGAAACGAGAGGGACAGATAAAGATGAAGGAAGCAAACTATTAGGGCGGAAAGAAGAGCAAGATAAAAGGATTCAAACCAAGAAGAGGAAGAAGAGGAAGAAGACGAGGAAGACAACTCGGGAGGAAGACGAAGACAAGGAGGATAATTTTATAGACAACTCTATGGATAAGTCCATGGAATAGTCCATGGAACAATCCATACGCTTGCCTTTCGACGCGCCTCCAGCCTCCGTCCGTCCCAGATTTTTCATCATGAGGAACGCTCTTGACGCTCCTCTCTTTTGGGACGGCCGGCGGTTTGTCGCTGCGCTGACCATCTCTCGACGGCCTCATGTTTCTGATCCAAGGCTCAGGAGATTCGTTCCCCGAATCGGACCGCCAGGCGCCCAACTTCGCATGCGACCATTTGCCCAAAAGCACCAGGCGGAGTCCAAAAAGAACGGAAACTCATGTGCATGTAGAGGGGGATCATCATTCGAGCTGCAACCTGAACGCCTTCCACCTCGCAGGGAGAAAAAAATGAAGTGCGATCTCAAAAACCTCGACTATCAACCTCAGAAAATTATTCCTCGTTTCACTAAAGTTTCTGACCCTGTTGGTGTTGATTTAATTAGAAGAGCAAATCTGGTGGGTTTGGGTGTATGTCTCTGCCCTGGTTAGGAGCATGCTCTCGCGTTGAGTTGGGGTTGAATTTGGCTCTCCTGAGTACGATCTACGGTCCCTGACTTGATAGGTAAAAGGTCGAGGTAGAACTTTCATCAAATCACGGGCCGGGTGGCGCAAGAGAGCGTGCGAGCCTCCTAAAAAGAGATACCAAGAAAAAAGTGAGGCGATGAGGAGCCAACGCAATTCTCTCTCATTCTTGGAAAATTAATGGCAGGTGCGAGGTTATTCTATTTTCGGCCCCTCGAGTTTTTGGTACTCTCTCTCTTTGGAGCTCAAAAATGGGAAAGAGGAAAAAGGAAACTCAGAATCGGCGCCGAGATTCTACCATGGTGGACAAGGGTCAAAGGCCATCGCACCTGTCAGCACCATCCGAGCGATACACAGTCAAAGGGGAAAAGAGCACCTTTTGACTACCACAAGGGAAAAAGTGAAGCTGTAATCCCGAGATCTATCTCGATCCACCCAGGGGTCGAACCTGGAACCTCCTGATTACTTGATCTCGTATGAGTCGTAGTCAGACGCTCTGCCATTGAGCCAGCGGACCTTGGTGAAAGCAAGGGTAGGGATAGGGGTTGATGAGCTGGCGAGACAGAATGTGTAGGTGGCGATGTGGAGACGGTACCCGAGTTTTTCTTGCAGGTGGTTCCACATGCCACAGTGATTTTTGACTTGGGTTGCGGGACACGGTGGAGACAGATATGGACGGCAACTCTTTGACCTAAAAAAGAAAAGAGGAAGAGGAGAAGAACAGGATAAGGATATGAATCTTTTCCTTATAGAACAGTTATGAGCAATCCAAGTGTATACACATTCACCAGAGCATAGATGTCCCGACTGTGCTGGTTGGTTCAGTGTATGGGAGGAGACAGCCAACTTGACGCGAGGCAGAGGAAGTTGACCACTTTAATGTCCCGAAACTCAATACGCCACGCTACGCCACGCTACGCCTAGGCGACCCTGACGATGCTGATATCATCGACATATAACACGTTCGGCGCGGCCGCGCTATTCCTGTTCCCAATCAGGGCAAAGTAGACGGACGCCGCAGACGACGACGCCGCGGTGAAGGTCTTGGACACTTTGAACCACTGTCCCACCGGCTGTCCGCTCGTTGGCGCATCAAAGCTCAAGGATGTGCCGCCGCCGGTAACAACCATGCGCACGTCGGTCAGCGCCTGCGCATTCTCGGACCAGATCCACCACGAAGCCTCGTACGTGGCGCCCGCCGTCAGCTGCACCGCCTGGGTGAACTGGCGCGACCCGTTGCTGATGTTAGAGAATACAGTCTTGAGCGCGGTGCTGCCGCTGTGCACCCGCTCGGTGGAAAGGGACGAGCTGATGACGTTGTCCATGCCGCCGCTGCTGTACAACTGCCAGAGTTTGCCGTCCTCGAAGCCGCCGTTGGCGATGACATTGGTGAACTCTGGGGCGGGGGGAGTAGGGGTGGTCTCTGGGGCGGTAGTAGTGGGCTCTTCGGCTGGAAGAGTCGGGGTGGCTTCGGGGGGGGTGGTGGTAGAATCCTCGGCGGGAAGGGTCGGAGTGGCTTCAGGGGTGGTGGTGGTGGTGGTGGACTCAGCGGGGGTTGGGGTGAGCTCGGCGGTGGAGGTGGACTCGGGTGTGCTTGTCGTCTCGGCTTCCACAGTGGTCGTGGTCTCAGACGTGGTCGTGGACTGGGCGGAAGAGCTGGCAGTCGAGGTTGCAGGCAGCTCCGAGCTGGTCGAGGACTCGACGGCAACATAGAGGTTCAGGCGGTCCGGTCCGCCACACCACTCGGCCGGGTTGCCGGCGCACAGCTCACTGCATTCCGCCTCGGGGCCCGCCGCGCCGCCAAGGTCGTTGCCGCAGTAGCATTCCCCGCCGGACTCAACGCCAAAATACTTGAAGCCGCCGCAGAAGCCGGCGCACTTCTCGACCGTCATGTCGCTTCTCGGATGCTCGCTGCCCGTCAGCGACCGGGCCTTTGCGTCGTCGGTCCAGCAGGACTGGTACCGGAACCCCCCGACAGTCTCGAGGTTCTTGACGTTGGTCTCGTGGCCCGTCCAGAAGACGGTGAGGCGGTCTGCCTCGCCGCAGGTCTGGCAGCGGTGCCCTCCGCACTTCATGGAGCACTCGGCACCCGGGCGTTTCTCGGCCGTCGACGCAAGAGAGGTGCCGCAGTAGCACTGCGAGCCGTACTCGACACCGAACCACTGGTAGCCATTGCAAGTGGCGGCGCACATCTGCAGCGTCATGTTGGGGTCAAACGACTTCTTGCCCGTCAGGGACCGCTGGTCCCGGTTGTCGGTGTAGCATCCCTGGAACCTGAAGTCGCCAAGCGCTGGCAGCGCGGAAGCCAGGGAAGCAAGGTAAACGAGCGACGCGACCCTGAGGCCGGTGTTAGAACGAGCGGACGCCATGGTTGGCAAAGACAACACAGCAGCAGTTGTTGACGGCGTGCTTGGTGTTGGAAAGGGAGAACAGGGAACGAGGATGGTGGGGCATGTTCTTTCCCATCCTGCTGGCACAAGATATACACTACAAAACCCCAGGTGATTGACCCCAGCTGAGAGCCTCCCACTTGGGCGGCTCCTTTCAATAGTCTCGCATCACAACAGGGGCACTCGAGCTGACATTGCCGTGAAGCCGGGTCTTGGTGGGCCAGCTAGACGGGCCTAGACTCCATCCGGATTTGGCAGGACTTCAATGGATCCCGGCCAAACTCCCCAAAAAGTATTAGGTGGAGCCCAGATCAGTCCATCGAAAGCCATGTTGCTCCTCAGCTGGTTGGTGTTTGAACGATAGAAGACTGCTGGGGTCAATGTACCTCCTTCCGAACAAAAGAAGGGGGTACATCCCAAGAGTCTTCTTATTGAAGGTCAAGTTCTTGGTGAACAAGCCGAGCTCTTTCAGAACGATTTCCTTCCTTCTCTTCTTCTTTTTTCTCCCTTGTCCCCTTTGTCTTCTTCCTCTTCTTCCTCTTCTTCCCCTCTCTTATTTCATTCTCCATTATATACGGCACTTTTTGGCCAGAGAGTGCCAGGGCCCTGCAAACCATGGACGCCCAGAGACCTCAAGTTCACACAGAAACAGACTGCACAAGTGTATATAGATATACCCATTCATTCAAAGCATCAGTATACGGATACATAAACATAATATCTACACACAGCATTGTCAACAATCCGCAGACCCGCAGACCATCAACAGCAACAGGAAAACCAGGAAAAGCCAAGAGGACCCATCCAAAGAGCAGAAACAACAGGCAGAGGTATCCAAAACACACGCCCATATTTCTCCCTCCCGGCAACCGGGCGCATAAACCCAAAATCCCAACACCCACCAACACTCCCACCTCGCTGGGTGTGTCGTGTTTCTCATTCCCTTTCGTTGAGAGGCATCCCATTCCACCCATCCTGTGATCGCCGACCATAAACCGACCCCCAAGCCAGCCGTATCCCCACCGGACCCCACCGGACCCCCCACCGCCGTCCTTTTGGTTTTGAGGACCTCGTGACTCCAAGAGAAAAGCAGTAAACGCCAACCGTAAAAGCACCTGCCGACCCAAGATAAAAAGCAGTAAAACACCGACCAACCGACCCTGTTCGCATCGTGTATAGATAGAAGAGATGTGTCGAAAACGTCGAGTGAAAAAAGAAGAGAACAAGCTTAGAGCGCCAAGCCGGTGCCGTCGCCAGTCCACCGGTACAGCGCGAGGAGCTCCCTCCGGCGCTGGTGCTGCTCTCCGAGGTCCTCGGGCACACGGCCGCGGACCTGAGCGAGCGCGCTCCGCATGACGCGGCTGAAGTTGCGCTGTTGTCCAGTTAGCATTAGACCTTAGACTGGCTCAAAAGGCCACATACCTGATACTCGGTGTTGAGCGTCACGACGCACGCCTCGTGGGCCCGGATGATGGTCTCGCAGGCCTTGACCACGCTGGGCGACGCCTCGAGCTGCAGCTTGTCGGCGATGAGGAGCAGCAGGAACGAGCCCTGCAGGAGGTAGATGCCAAAGAAGAAGGGCATGAACTCGAGGCCGGGGTCGTACTCGAGGATGTTGCTGATGGCCTCGGCGGCGCTGACGGCGTGGCCCGTCGCGGTGATGAACCCCTGGCTGCTGATCCAGAGGTCGTTGTCGTCGAGGAGGTTGATGGGATCCCACTTGCCGGTGAGCAGGATGTGCAGCACGTGCATGACGTGCGTGCCGTACGCCATGACGATGCGCGTCTGGATGTCGCTCTCGGTCATGCGGCTCGAGGTGGTGTGCACGCTGTGCACGCTGTGGCCAGACGGCGTACCCGGGAGGTCGTTGGCCGTCGGGACGCCCGCCGCCTCGGCCGCCTTCTCGTCGGCCGCCTGAGCCTGCGCGTTGAGGCTCAGGTGCCGCTGCTCGAACTTCTTCAGGCTCTGCTCGTACATGTCGAGGTGGCGGGTGATCTCGGACGTCTGGTCATCCCACTCGCGGGACGAGCGGAAGCCGACGCCGAAGCGAGGATGGTTCCTCGCGTGGTTGAGGTCCACGATCTCGCCGAGGATGGTCATCAGAGGCAGAAAGTAGCCAAAGATGCTGTGGCCGGTGCACTGGAACGCGGGCCCACGAGCGCGGTTCTGACCGGCCTCGGGGTCCGAGCCGAGCACGTTCGGGTCAGTGAAGGCATGGAAGTTTCCGTTCTGGTAGTCCGTGTCGTCCATGGGCTGCAGGAGACCCTCGCACTCGATGTCGAGGAGGAAGAGGGGCCGGTTGTAGCACAGGGCGAGGTGGCGGTCGACAATGTAGACGAGCCACCAGATCCGCCGCCTCTCCTCCCGCTCCTCCTCGGTGATGACGCCCGGAACGCCCATATCCTCTCCGTCAATGTCGGCGGAGCCGCCTGCCCGGCCCGAGGGGGCGTTCTGAGGCAGCTCGCGCCCGAGCTTGAGTTCGCGGGCCAGGGACCAGGCGGCGTTCCACCACCGCAGGCTCGCCCCCTTGTACTCGCTCGCAGACACGACCGTCGCCAGGTGGATGTATGTGATGACGTCGTCAAGATTTCCGGCAGCGCCGAAAGCGCCCGACTCGCTCGTCAGGGTCTCCATGCTGATGGACCCGGGGAGCGCGACGCCCAGACCGCCGAGGGCGACGCCGTCCACGATGGGGCTCGAGACGGGCGACGCCTCTTCGGAGGGCGTGTGGATGAGAGGCTTGAGGAGGCTGACGGTCAGTTCGAGCAGCTTTTGGCAGATCTTGCCGCGCGCCGAGGGGATGCTCGTCAGGAAAGGAGCGTCGCTCGTCTGCGCGGCGACCCACAGCATGCTTGACAGGAGGGCCGGCTGGCACTGGCGAGGCTTGCTTGGGTGCAGGAACGACCGCTTCCGGAACACGAACCCCAAGACGTACGGCGACATGGGATGCATCTGGGCCGAGGACGAGCTCGCAAAGTAGAGGTCGATGAGGTCGCACGCCAGAGACAGCGGGATGATGTTGCCCAGGTGCGGGATCAGGGGCTCCAGGACGGGATACCGGAGGGGCGAGTGGCCGTGGCCGTAGCCGTTCTGCGGGACGTGCGAGGCGAACTGAGGCGGCGGCGAC